CTTATTTAAATAAAATTATATATATATAAAAGCTTTAAATTAACTAATTATATTAGTATTATTTACTTTTAAGTTTTTTTATATATTTTAAATTCAAAAAATTTATTTTATTTTTGATATTAAGTTTAAATATTTCTTATGATATATGTACAATACATATATTTGTATTTATTTTTTAAATATTTTTTATGATATATATACAATATATATATTTGTATTTAGTTTTTAATATTATTTAAAAAAAATTATAAAAACATATTTATTAAAAAATTATAATACTATATAAATAATATAAAATGTTCAACAAATAATAAAATAATAGTTTCAATTAAAAATATTAATTAATTTTTTTAAAAAAATTTTTTTTCAATATTTCTATTTTCAATATTTTATTTTTATTTTTTCTATTTCTATTAATATTATAAATTCAAAAATTAACTACTGGAATAAAAAAATAATCAAATAAAAATAATAAAAAATCAAATTCAAAATTGAAATATAAGGGATTTAAATTTTCAATAAATTTCTGTTAGTATATACTTATTTATTATTAAAAATATTATGATTATTAAATCTTTTTTCAAATATCCATATTTAATATAGAAAACCAGACATAAATCAATATTATTTTTTGATAAATTTGATAAACTTTATTATTATTTTTTTCTAATATTTGTTTAAATTATAATAATTATTTGTTGGTTTATTTAATTTATAATAAATATTTTATTTTATTAAATGGATTTTTAAGTTATGAAATAATTAAAATAAAAAATAATATTATAATAAAAGCATACAAAATATACAATTATAAAATAAAAAAATATTTTATAAAACAAAATTTTCTATTTCAAGTTCAAAGGCTATTGGAAAGACTAAATAATATAAAAAATTAACTTTAATATCGGAAATCATCTTTTCTTTTTTTTGCAATACAACTGGTCGTAATTTTACAATAGGTTTAAATTGATTTTAAAATAAAAATAAATACTGTATATATCTAAACAATATACTATTAATTTCCAAGTTATTTAATAAATAATTATCTTAACATGTTATCTTTGAAAAATGGGTTAAAAATTTCATGCATCTCCCAACTTTATTCAAATAACTTTACCCAACATGCTAATATTTTTTCAGTATGTCTTAGCCAATCAACCATTAACCATTGACAATTTTAACCTATTCAACTTATCTAATTTTCATTTAAAAAGAAAAAATTCCGGTATATATCCAATATATACATGGTTTTCGCCTGCGGTGATTTAGTGACCACATTATTAAGGTCATCTTATTATAATTTAGGTTGTTGTTCTTGCGTGGACCCACGTAGAAAATAGGTTAATATACGCGATGCATATTAAACATTTACTAATTATATGTCATGTATCTATTTAAGATTTTTAGGAAAGAAAATTATTAATGTTAAGTAAATAAAATTCTCTTTGATATCAAAAATTTCAAAATTATCGTACCTAGGTGTCGATGAAAACTTGGCGTAGGACTATTCGAAGGAGAAAAGAGTTATTTATTATTCATAAGAAAAAAAAATTACTACACATTTCTATATGTAACGAACCTTGATAACTTTGTTTACTGCCTCCAAAAAGTCCTTTTCTGTCGCAACCTGGCAATTTATAAACAGTAATTTAAACCACAAAATTATCATGAAAAATAAAGTCCAAAATATCAATTACCTTTCTTCTCGATCTAATTGCAAACATCCCAGCTTCCGTACACACACTTCGCAATTCGGCACCTACATATTGAAATAAAGATTATGTCCTAAATTCAAAAAAATTTGAAGTTCCTTAATTGAGGAGATTTGCATACCAGTACTATTTGGGCAAAGTCGAGCAATCAATTCATATCGGATATCACGTTCAACCGACATGCTAAAAGTTATATAAAGGAATTAGATATAATATTTAATACGCGGAAGATGTATAAGCCGCATACCTCTTGGCGTGAATTTTCAATATATGTGCACGACCCTATGTCGACAAGGTTGGTTATTTGCATTTTTTCATATTCACTACTGAACTATAGTAAAATAAATAAATACTTCTAAATCTGGTAGAGAGAATTCGACTTTACGATCCAAACGACCAGGACGCAAAAGTGCTGGATCTAACGTGTCGGGACTTTA